TAAATTCTTTTTAAATATAAGCCGGGCAAGGGTTTTACAGGGAGTTTCATGTACGCAGCACGCCTGCATCCTTTTGACCACACAAAATTTCCGTCCTCTAAAATTTCTTTCCTTCTTTTGACATTGGCCGTTGAATATTGCTAATTCTGCGTAATTATGCGAAGCGAGGTGTTTGCAGTCCCACGCAATTGATATTATTTCATTGCACGCTGAAAGACTGGCTTTAGTGATACCAAATTCAATTTCAAACTTTAAAAGAATTTTAGGACGAGTGCCAGACACTCGAACAAAGAGCACGGTATAAATGAAAGTCCCATCTCAATTAGCATGCAGCAGGAGAACAGCCAAAAGCTCAGCTAAGCGTATGGAAGGTACGGGTTGTTGGGAGATATGGTATCCCAGTCCGTGACCAAGTAGGTCGTCACACCGGCGCTTCTCACTAAATCGAATTTTCCCAGGTGCGAGTATAGCTGACACTGGACACCGGCTCCATCGCTGGTCACTACAGCGGCCACACAGAGGCCGGGCAGTAGTTGGCACAAGGACTGGCACTCTCCCGGCTGGAGATTCGCTAATGCGGTGACCGACACTTGCGTGATGCGCTGCGCTCCGTCGTCCAGCATCTGCATCTCCATGTTGTCGAACGTTCTCAGGATGCGGTTGCTGCGCAGAACGACCGCCATCGTATGAGTGAGCCCGGAGCGATGGGGCTGGTACTGGCAGCCCTTCAAAGTATCCAGCACTTCGCAGACCTTCGTCTCGAAATCCAGATTGGCCAGCACACCGTGCTGCTCATCCAGGAGCTCCAGACAGGCGTCGATCATGGATGTCTCGTTCATGTCGGCCTCTTGCATTTGGCCTGCCAGTTCGAACCGGAGACCGCTGCATTCCGCTTTCCAATTGAACAGGACACTGACCTTTCTCGATTCTGCAAAGGAACCAACATTTGGTGACGAGTTACGAAGTATGCCAAAATTATTATTTTTTCATCCGGTGAATGTGATAAAAGCGCTTGCATACAAAAATCTCAAACGAGTATTTTGCATTAGACGCAATCTTGAAATTATCGCGGATTGCTTCCATAAATGCCGCAGCTGATGAGATTAATAATGACATATTGAATACTGCTGTTTTCCTCATATTTTCGGCACTTCACGTTTATGTTTTCGTAAACGGGTCTTCGGTCACCCGCCCCCTGCGGCGCACTACATGAATAAGTGAAATAACTGCTGATCGCGCAAACGCCTTGCCTTCAATTTTTTCCCACTGCTCTGTAATACGTTTTCGCGAAAATTTATTAAAGCATTGAAATGTGTACGGGCGCATCAATTTGGGAAATCTATGAATTTATGAATTCAAATCTTTTATTAAATTTTCACTTCAGTCATCTTAAATAAGGTTTATGTAAACTTTTAATGTCTTCATAAAAGTCAGTTGCATAACCAGTTGCAAAAAAGAAACATAAATAAAACCTGCTGCTGCATACACGTGTCATTAAATATGTAATTTATTAAAGTTTACCTGAGTTATTTATTTAAAAATTTATAAATTCATAAAATAACCAGTTGCATAATGTACATATACGAAGATTAATTACATTACCGAACTTGTTTGCCAGAATCAGCGAAATAACTGTGGCCGTCTTACCGTTGAGAGACTGAGGATTTTCGCGCGGGCACTGATAACGCGAGCGCATCTTCTCGATGTCATAATATCCCAGACGTGGCTGGGGTCCCCACGGACCAAGATACCAGTACTAGGGCATTCCGGATTGTTTGATCAGTGTCAACAAGTTTTCACCACGGGAATAGTCGTCAGACGCCGCATGCATGATGCTGTTGGGATCGTACGGAAAGCGCAGATCCTCCTCGAAGTAAGGCGGCGGGAAGCCGGCTGTAGTGAAAACACTGGCACTCCCTGGACCAGCTGCAAAATTCGAAATGGAAGAGGTAGTTGTATAATACCGGTGTTTGGTGTTAGGCAGTTGACACTTACGGCACATCATGTTGTCCGGCTGTGGTATGACGTACTGGTCCCGGTCGCGGCGGATATATTCGTGGCGCAGATCGAACACCGCATGCATCAGCTCGTGCAGTATCACCTTAACGATCATCGAATCCGGGCTTTGGTGGGCGTTGTAGGGCACCGTGTTGATGTACACGGTATTCTGGCCGTTGGCATCGTATCCCAGTTGTTCGCTGCGTGAAGCACTGCAAAACGACAACATGGACAAATGCTATGCGAAGTTGACATCCTGCCGGTGTCGACTTACCCCCCGCTGCAGCCTTGGAAACTGGATGCGTCGTGCTCGATGTAGATGGTCAGCACACGACAGGTGTCACCGTCCCCGACGGGGCGCAGTTCCACGCAGCCGGTCATTGCGGCGTTAATAATGTCGATGGCTCGTTGCGCACTGGACACAAATCGGGCGCTGTTATCACCTCCGTTGTTTACTGCAATTTATTTACTGCAAGTGTTAGGACACCCAAGCTGCACACCATAAATTAAGAAATATTGACACATACCGATTGCATAACTGATCCCGCAACTGCGGGCATCAGGCCAGACCTGCGGTTGGGCGGGCCCACCGAAATTCATGCCGGGAAAATTCGGCAGTCCGAAAGCAAACGGCGACGGATACGGCTGAAAGTTTCCGTATGGGCCGTGGACCGGATACCCGTTCTCGGAGCCGAGCGACCCTATACAATCAACCCCGCTTAATATGCCTTTTTATTTGCCATTTAAGCTGTCAGCAGCCTTTTCACGGTAGAATTATATGTATTCAGCGGAATTTCGTTAAATAGTGAAACAGCAGCGAATTAGATTAACGGTGATGGCGGTGATGATGACTAACCTCCCCAGTCTTGCCTGCTTTCTCGCCCGGGAGGGACGCTAGTGGTGGCAGGCCGGTGTTTCGCTGTCGTCGAGCGGCCTTTCGGTGGTCTGGTGGTGGATCGGACCGCCGGTTTCATAGAATGCTTGGTGGTGGCTTCTGTAGCGGGTTTCGGTGGGATTCTGGAAGTGAGCGATGCAGACGAACCGTCGTCCTGGCAGAAGCCGAAGACGTTATTTCCGTTGTCGCACAGCAGTCCATCGCAGCACGGGATGTCGGCTGAACATCCCTCCTGTCGCACGCGACATGCCCGTGTTACCTGCAGTTCAAAAATTCCGTTTCTTTTTAGTCGTCTTTCGATGCGTTTTCTCTGAGTCCTCGTACTTACCGCAATCAGATGAATGCTCCAGACAGCGGAGAATATCAGTGCATGCAGTAACCGCATAATATTATTGATTTGATTGAGTTAGGAAATCGAACGGCAGTGTAATTATTCCATTTTTAAGTTAGTTTTGCTTGAATAATGGTGAACGTTTGGTTGGTTACTCGAATCACTTTTTTTATATAGCATTCCGTACGGCAACTGTTTGCCACGAGTGTCCAGGCACGATCGAGGTGAACTTAGTTTGAAGCGTTTGCTGCGTCTGGCAATTCCTTCCTCAAATAGTTCTTGAGCCCACTTGTGTCTCACCCGGCAAGTCGTTGAACGGTGTCATCCTACTTCTTGAATAACCAAACAGTAAAAATATTTTGCTGTCTAATGCTGACTGCCGTGGATTGTCTGCTGTGTTTGCCTTCGTGACCGGCATCGAGACCAATCACCACGTACTATGCTGATTCGAAAAACCGGGCATGGATACGATTGTGCAACCACCAGCAGCTTTTCCAGCATCTGTAAGCGTTAGCAAATAACAAGGGTTTGGTTGCCGTGTGGAAAGCGTGGCGACCGTAAGGAAGCGTTATTGTAATCGATGGCCAAAGCACTTGAGACTTGTTTTCTCCAAGAAGGCTGTGCGCGCTCCACGCAGAAGTGGGCAGTTTCGTGTACAGCGAGAAACAGCCGGCTTAACGCTATCACACTCTCCTGCCATGTTGATGGCTCGACGCCCAAGATTCTTCTGTGTAACTGGCAATATTGCAAAATTTAAGACGAGGCTTCAGTCGCGCAGTGAACTGCACGGGCAGTCTGGCCATAATAAATTTTGCTACTGATTTTCGCAGTGAACCAGCAATACAGATACATGTGAATTGTTAAATATTTATGGTGCACCCGAATGATTGTCAGTGAAAACAGCAGTTACGCAGTACAGATATATGCTCCTCGTTGCTGTACTTTCTGTCATTTTTCCTGCGCAGTACGAGTATATGTTCAGACTCACTGCAATCAGTGCCAAGACTCACGAATATACGTAGCTTTAACAATGAAACGGTAAGCGTATCGAAAACTTAACCACAGGATATGAATTTTTTTTTGTTATATTATACGCTGACATGGGTTGGATATCAGGATTCAGGAATCAGTGAATGTGTGGTCCACCCGACTTTGAAGTACTTGCGAGATGATGTACGACAGTACAAGCGAAAGGAGGCTCAATGAAAGACGAAGGGTAAACCGTGCTCGAGTACTAATTAAAAGTAAATTGTCAATGGCTCGGAAAAACTTACTTTTCATTACTAGAATTACAACATTACAGCAAAAGAATTATTTCTTGAATAGCACGAGATTCGCCAAAACTATGCACAAATGCATTTGCTGCGTTGATGCCGCTTGTAGTGCAGTACACGTTGGCGTTGTCGGAAGCAGTATATAGCGGAAAACGTGGCACTAATAAAATCTGCACGAGTCGGCCACGCAGTAGTACTACACAGTGTGTAGTACTACTGCGTGGCCACTCGTTCCTCAAGTGGCTGGTGGCGACACCAAATTGCTATCCTCCGCAACGTGTCAGAATGCTCGTGAAAGTGTGCTGATACGGGAGAAATTCCCAAACCGACCAGGGACAATGTTGCCGGAAAAGTCTTTTGATCGAGCTGACGTCTGTGATAGTGCACGGACAGTCCGAGTTTTGTTGTTGTCGTGCACAGGTGCCAAATGCCGTATAAAAGAGGAGCGCGCTGAGCGTCTTTCCCACAATTATATATTTTGCTGCTTTTTAAAACAATTTGCACCCGCTTTGGATTATTATTATCGCTGTGAGAATTGCCCGTGCTGGTAGTAACCATACATACCTTGTATTTGTTTTTTTTGTCCATTTTGGATGTATGGTAAGTGATGATAGGCTATTATTTTAATTGCTATGCGCAGTCCAGTCAGTTCCATTTGCTTATTTATTCATTTTTTGGTTTGGTTAAGGTTGATTGCTCTTTAATTTGACTAATTCGCCAAATTATGCAAAAATATTTGACCGTCAGCGCCTACGAAAAAATAACGAAATAAAGCGTGTCCAAAGTTCAAATTAATCTGTATAAACTAACTTATCGCAATAAATCCTGCGGCATGCATCACAATAATTGGAAACGATGTAGTATCCTTATTTGCAGTTATTGACCAACGTCCACGCAGCGAAAGCGTCCCAGAAAGGTTGGTCAATTAATTAATGAAACACAACCAAATGCCAGTGATAAAAATGGCCTACACTAGCTGTACCGGTATTTCCGCTGTTGTAATGAAGATTTTGTGTATTCTACAGGCTCTGACAAGGCTCACTGCAAGCAGCACAAACCTCCTGGATACAGCTTCAACAACGAAGCGGTAAGCGTGACAGAGAGTGGCAATTACCTGGGCTGTTATTTGGCTTGGATGATCGGGCGATAATTATTTCATTGGTCGGTGCGTTGACAGGGTTTGGGAATCTGGTACCAGTACATGTACGGCCCCCCGGACATGAAGTACCTGCGGGATCGGCTGACCAATGCCATGGAAGACAACCGCCGCATTGGCTGGTTGCCCGGCCAGAGTGCCTTCGTCCAGTCCTTCCACGTTACGGCGCGTCTGAACAACCCGCCCTACACCTGCTGGAAATCATACGGCATACAGAACACCACCAAACAGGGATTCTGCTACGGATCGGCCTACTTCAAAAACGCTCCCTTTCCAGACGGTAAACTGCAAATAAACTTGCTAGCCGCATTTTGCAAAAACAATTATTGGACTTTAAATTGAATTTAACTCAGATTATCAGAATAATTTATTGGTATGAAAATTCAAATCAACATAATATTTACAAATTTTATTTACAGTTATGAATTATACTGGTATATACTGCAAATTCTAATAACTTTACTACACTCAAACACCATATTTAAATTTATGCATCCGAAAGTTAAACCAGTTTTCTCAAGTTGTTCACGCTTACCGTTGGTCTTATCCATACTTCTGACGGGAACAATCTATCCGGTATATTCGCTTTACAGGCGAGCGAGCAACGTTCTACAAATTGTACATGAACTCCACGTTCACGTACGCGCGCTCCTTCTGCTTCGACAAGGGCTCGGAAACGGTAACTGCGGAAAGCTGCGCGGAACCCGGCATCTCTGTCTGGACGCGCAAGAAGCCCCAGCAGATCACCGCAGCGGAAGACCGACGTATCCGTCAAATCCTCGAACAACATCTGCAACTGTACTGCATGACGTCCGCCGACATGGTCAAAGTGCCGCAGGTCAACCTGCCGGTTTGCCAAGTCGACGAACCGTCAGCCGCGTACAAGAAGGAGCTGACGCAGGCCCAGCGTCTGGCCCGCTGAAAGGTCAACATTCACATTGCGCATGCAGGATCCGGAAAGCGCAGCTAGCGACCAGCCAACAGATGCATTAAAGATATTTTGTACATCTGCATCTGCTACACGGTACACATCTCCAGCAAATTAATGGTAACCATTCCGTTGTAATGTCAATTCTCACCGTCATAGTTATTGGTATTTTTAATGGTCTACTAAGCCGTTTCTTGATGTTGTTTCTTCCTAATGCATCTGGGATAGACCACTAATAAGCTGCGTGGTTGATCAAAGGCTAAACCCAGAAATATAGAGGCGGTGATAACTGTTATTCATGCTATACGGAAGTTGAACTACAGTTGCACTACCCACTACTACAGTAGGTGGCCAATTAAGTCCAGTACACAAGTGGGACAACAAGTTTATCATGAATTTGAACTCTTTCTTATGCCCAATCCGCAGACTACTACAAGAAGTAAACCGATTTACCAGCAGTCCAACTACTGACGAACGGGAAACTGTAAATACGGACATACCGAAGAAAAGTGGGCGCAGCAGCGCTAATAAGCCGCTTTCTAGCAGGCGACTGTTGTTACGAGTACGCAAAGGCGCTAATGGCTATACTAATTTACCTAGCACTGGTAAAACAAACCATCTCGTAATTGAGATACCGCTTAAATTTCGAGAATAGCGGTTCATCAACTGATTTACCAAAGATGCGATACCCCGCGGCAACTTGTTATTAAATTTAAACAATTAACGAAGATGCTACCCCGCATAGATACCGTAATTATACAACGATCGTTTTTTCAGGTTAAAGGAGGCAGCCTCAGAATGGGGTTATTCCCGTCCTCAAACCCAGGGATCACGTACCTCATCGCGAGCTGTAAATAGATCAAAAATAGGGTACCGCGTCAGTGGACGTCGATGAACAGAATGGAAAACCGGAGACAGCAAATGCTGCACCAGCCAGTACAGTGAAGCGGAAATCCGCAGCCAAAAGTCGCCGCGTCAGTGGAATTTTTGACAGCTACGGAAGCAGTTCATATTCCGGATAACGTTAATAAAACGCTGTGCTATCCGGACGGAAGCGATTAAGTGGAATGTTTGACGATAGCGCCGAAGCCAAGACTACGTCCGCCGTACTGAGCGATGCTTTTAAAGCACTTAACGAAGAACCTGAGGTAAACCGGGAGAAGCGTCTATGCTGCACCGAAGAACGAACAATAAAACGGCATCTCTTCAAAGAAATAAATGACCAAATCAGCATAAAAAACACAGAGTTTATCCTCCTGCTATACGCATTGTAGCCTCGATCCACGACATCTGAGCATCATTGTGCATCTACGGCTATAATTTTGCAGTTTATGCAGTACGGTTATGATACCGTCAAATTCCGGTGTATCTTATGCGCTACGGCGATTCTTTACCGAATGAATTAATTCATCAATCTGCACTCACAGGGCATTACGACGATTCCTTCAATTTGGCGATACAATACAGTCACAAGTTTCCATAAAAGTGAAAGAATTGTACCGAATACACAGCGATTCCTTATCCTGATAAGTTTCAAATGAATTGCAATTATTTCATCAATTTGCACCGCGGTTCATTCTGAATTCAGATGTATTTGTGTTTAATATGTGTTTAACTACTTGCATTCGTTGTGAAATACGGCGATTCGATTAAGAATTCAAATAGATTGCAATTTCAATTACTTGCACTTTTTGTGCGATACCGCGATTAAATCCGAAAAAACTGTGTATAATGTCATTATTGTGCCTAACTACAATGTATTATATCGATAAAACCTTGCCGCGCATGGGGGGTGGATTTTATTAACAAAATCCCTGGTGGACGAATTTGTCCACCGGAAACGAACAAACAACTGCACTGCAATCAACAACTGCTTAGCACAAATGACAAAAGAACGCCTGCACAGGGCAGGTACGCCTCCGTACAAATATACACAAATCCACCACAAAACAACAATATTGTATTTGTGAAAAGCAAAATCTTGGAGAACAAGCTAAATATATAGATTAATGGAAACGAAAGATTCCACTTGTCCAAAATCCCACGGTCTCCACGGTATCCGCATTCCTAGGAGTGGGCGGGCGGGAAAACTGCTTGCTGCTGCTGCATGCAACTGGAAGTTGCCGGTATGCTGCGCTCTTTATATATGCGCCACCGATGACCGGTGGCCGGCTGAAAGGAGGAGTGGCTATCCGTGTAGGCCAATAATAAACAGATTCTCCCCAGAGAGAATCTTACTCATTATTGTGCCTAACTACAATGTATTATATCGATAAAACCTTGCCGCGCATGGGGGGTGGATTTTATTAACAAAATCCCTGGTGGACGAATTTGTCCACCGGAAACGAACAAACAACTGCACTGCAATCAACAACTGCTTAGCACAAATGACAAAAGAACGCCTGCACAGGGCAGGTACGCCTCCAAACCCCCAAATCACTCCCGCGATCCGACTGCTGCCATACATTGCGCGAATTCTTCTCGTCTGCGATTATCCAAAATGACATATTTCTCATAACAGCTGCTGCGCCAATTGCCTTGCGCTTTAATTACCGCTGCCGATGCTCCGAATTTGGCTGCTGCTGTGGCACCTCCTCGCCGGAACGAATGCGTGGACAACTTACTGCCGTCGATTCCGGCATCTGCCAGCGTTTGCTTTAAACAACGGTTGAACACGTGAGACGTCATGGCCACCATCTGCCCGGCTGACCGGTACGATAGAAGCGGGTCATTTCCTTTCGCTTTCGTTGTCGCTAACAATTCTTCCACTGCGCTTACTGGGCACAGTACACTGCTGCTGTTTAATTTTGGAACAACTACATGTACTTCCGCGCCCTTGTAGCGGTTGCTTTTTAGCGCTGGCGCTGATACTTGCAGCCCCATCTCGATGCGCTGCACATTCAAAACTTTAACATGCGTACTGCTCTTTCTGAACGAACAAAACAAATTAGATGCCCGCAATAAAGAAAAGAATGCCAATAAGCAAGCGGCCCATAAGGCCTTCCTGCGCGCTGTCTGCACTGCATGCAAATGCTTGTGGATAGTTAACAACAGGTCCACATCTACTGCTGCTCGCTTGTTCGGCAACTCCTCGCGGAGACGCTGAACACCTGCCAATGCTTCCTTTACTGCAAAATGAGTGATATCTGGCCCGGCCATGTTGTGCTCATGGTGAAGGGAAATTAAACTGCTGACATAGTTCTGAATTGTTGTATGCTGTAAACTGCGTGCAAGCTCTGCTATATACAGACTGACGGTATGTACCGACGCCGGTAATGCTTCCAGGTTATACGCCGCGCAGAATTTCATGTACCGGCTCCACTGCGCCTTCCTTGTTTTCTGCGATGAACTGGCTGTGGCAGACTGCCGCAAACTTTTCAGCCGTTTCTCCAGATCTATCAAGCGGGTATGCTTGTTCTGCGATTGCCGGTAACGGTGCTCCGGGAAAACTGCGAAATACAGACCTGAATTTATCCGCGTTAGTGACATCCAGTGTTAAACGGCTCAAGGCATCGGCCGCTACGTTTGTTACTCCCGGAAGGTGAACTGCGGTTACGTAAAGGTCATAGCGTAATGACGCATAAAACAAAATCTTCAACCACTGCAGGGCGGAAATATTTTTGGTAGTTCCGCGCGTTAAAAACGCAACTGTAGCGCTGTTGTCGGAGGCGACAACAATATGTTTGCCTGCGAGGTATGGTGCCCATACCAAAACTGCGATGCATGCTGCGATAAGCTCAAGATAATTAATATTATCTTTTAATGAGCTGTCCACTGCTGGCGACGGAAGCCAACCGCCTGCCATATGCTGCAATCTACCGGGTAGGACGTACGACGAGTCCCAGCTGCCTGCTAGCCATGCGGTTCCCATGCTTGCTCCAAAGCCGCCGAATGACGCATCGGTGGCAATGGTGACCTTTTGCCGAGCTCCATAAACTGCCGGCCACTGCACCTGGCCATTAACTGCCGCTGCGAATCCGCTCCACCACTGTAATTCGTACTGCAAAGCCTTCGTAATTTTTGTCAAATGGGATGGTGCTTTAAGCTTTTGCATAACATCGATAAAAACCCGGGTAAAAGTCCGTGCTCCGAGGATTGCGCGCGACGCGAACGACATGTGTCCCACAAGGCACTGTAATTCGCGCTTACTAACTTTTTTACGCTGCGAAAACTGTATTGCCATTTTTGCAAGGCTGATAAGTTTTTCTTGTGGTAAAACCACTGATTGCGTGGAGGAGTCGATTATTAGCCCCAGAAACTGAACTATTTTTGTTGGGCTGACGACTTTCTCCCATTTTACTGCAAAGCCCAACCGTATCAACAGAGCAATTAATGCCTGCTGCGCTGCCGCACATTGTTCGAAGGAATCCGCAATTAACAAGAAATCGTCCAAATAACATACACACTTGTAACCAAGCCGCCGCAACTTTCTCGCGATCGCACTTGAGATTCGCTGAAATATCGCAGGTGCGTTTGCTAGACCAAAGCAAAGAAAATTGTCTACATAATAGTCTTCTGGGTCACTGCCAAATCCCCATTTGAAGCCCTGCAACTGCCTGTGAGAGGGCAAAACTGGCACATGTCTGTAAGCTGATTTAATATCAACTACCGCGAAGAAGCTGCCTGCACTGCTGAGGGAAATTACATCTTCAATAGTTTCAAATCGAAAATGGTCTGGCTCAATGTAGTCGTTCAACGCACTGCTGAAAGGACGAGAGCAGTCCGTAATAGGACGAGGGATAGCTGACCCAGATTTGGCCACTGCGCCTATTGCCTGCACTCTAAGCGGTTTAACATGTTGTTGCGAAATTCTGCCTGCGTCTAATTCTTCCCGGAAAAGTTGATCAAGTAAAGGTTTTGTGTCAGAATTCAGTGCGCTGCGATAATTAGAACATTCGGACTGCGAGACTGCATTTATATCGGAAACAATAGGGAAACCGGCAGAGATGCCGCTTAACAGAAACACTACATCTAAATCATGTGAAAATTCATCA